CAGTTTACAGGAGACACAAGTTGGTTCTCCATCTTGGACCCCAACGATGATTCCTTTTTTAATTTTTCTTCCTCTAGACTCTCAATTCCTGTATTCCTTTGAATGAGAAAATCTCATCTTGAAAGAAAAACCACCTACTTGGACAGTTCTTCCACAACGCTTTAGAAATAGTCTCTGCCTTTTTGCTTGGGCACCAGGAAAGGACGTAAGGAAACTTAAGGAGCTAAGTGGGAACCATGGGGGGGTCTGGAGAACAAGTTAGTCCTTCCTCAAGGGACACAACAGAAAGCTATGAAAACCCTTCATGATTTGTTCCATATGAACGAGATGCTGCATGTGCACCAGTCACTGGAATTTTCACAGGACCGGGACCAGCGACAACCACCTGCCAGGTCTGCAAAGCTTGCTCACTTCTGCAATAACCCTGGCAAGCCCAAACCACCTGCGTCGTTAGAGCCTGTACAGAAGGGAGGAACACACCTTGGAGTGGACTGGCAATTCAGCTTTACCCTCATGCCACCACATGGGGGATTTAAACAAACGTTGGTCCTAACTGACACTGCCACAAGTTGGACTGAGGCCTGCCCCACCTGTTCAGAAAAGGCTAGAGGTAGTCAAGGTGCTCCTCAGAAATCACCCCTAGATTTGGACTACCTCAGTCCCTTTAGAGTGACAGTGGGCCCTCCTTTACCTCTCAAATAACTCAGGGCACGGCAAAGGCTTTAGAAGTAAAGTACCACCTCCATTCTACACGGAGACCTCAGTCTTCTGGAAGGGTCAAAAGGGCCAGCCAGACCCTAACACTGACTCGGGCAAAACTTTGCCAAGAGACTTCTGAGTCCTGGCTCTGATCAGGGTCAAGAACCCTCACGAGAATCTGAAACACCCCCGAAACTAAGCAAAATGCAGGTCCATTTGAAATGCTGTACGGAAGGTCTTTTCTATCTTCTGATATGGTAGCGGTTCAGACCACAAGGCTCTTATAGATTCTTATTAATCGGGCCAAACGTAACAATATACCCAATTATATGGGAACAAAGTCCCATCAGCAGCTAGTATTCACCCTGGAGACCAAGTACTTCTTAAGACTTGGAAAGAAGGAAGCCCTGCAGACCAACTAAAATCAAAGTAAAAAGGGCCTTCTCCAGTCATTTTGGTCATGCCAACATTAAAGGTAGCAGGTATAGATAACTAGGGTCACCTCTCTTGGATCAAGCCTGCTCAACCTGACACACCTCCGTGACAACCAGACAGAGAAGACCAAACACTCTGTGAGCCTTGGAGTACCTTGGAGCCTCTCAGTACCTTGGAGAAGAAACAGAAGGATCCAACGGCAGGTAAGTTACCTCCTGACAAGCACCCATCATGTTCATATCTTTATGTCCTTTGTATAATGCCCGCTGCCTCAGCTGACTATAGTTCACACCCCCTTCACACCCCCACCTACTTAAAAATCTGTTTTAGATTTCTTACTGTAGGAAGATCTAGCAAACCATACCTGGGAAGAGACAAGGACTTTCTTAAAATCAGTTGTGATCAGTTGCCCCAGGACAAGTGCACACCAATCCTGGGCTTAGGATGTGTGCTTTGCCACTTACTGGTTTATCTTCTCTACTTCAACTTACCTTTCAATGCCATTTTTAAATTAAGATGGGGACATTTTCAATGTTCTTATTTTTGTGCTTCCACTCAGGAGACCTAAACGCCAACTCCTTACACCTCTACGTCCCTATAGCTCAGCAGGCCCTCTCTTATCTACCCCTGCCCAGGCAGACAGAAGGCTCTTAGCAAGACCTGACGATCTTGGAGCCAGGGCAGTGGTCAACGCCACTTTCACATGGAGATAAGCAGCTAAACACACTGTGACAGAATTTAACATCTAGATGCAGATACCCAGTTTGACAAGTCTATGCGGCGGTCAGGGCCAGTCCTCTCCAGTGTAGGCCTTGACCAGCTGCCCCAGGTCTGCACTAACGTTACCTGCTTTGATCCCTCTGAACCTTTCAAAAGGCTGCTTGTAAGGGCTCCCTTGCTGCGTTGCTGCTGTCCTCGGGAAAAGAGGAAAAAATTCCCAAGACCTCTGATGATATGAAGAGAACTGACTTCTACATATACAAAACCCAAAACATAACTGTCTTCAGGACCAGGAATGGGGGCCCCATCTGTTATACCCCAGAGGAAAACTGACTCATGCCTGGTTAATAAGGCACAACATTGTATATATCAACCCTCTAATTTCTTTTTAGTCAAAAGTCAACCAGACCTGCAAAACGTTCAAAGGCCCAGATGTTAGTTTTCTGGAGGATTCATGGCCCCTGTGAGCCACAAGCCGCAACGTGTCACCCTCTGGCCGCAGCTCAGACAGGCGGCAGTCACCCCAGATGCACAGGCCCTTTCAGCACAGAACCCACTCGAGGCCCTGGCTCTCCTCCTGCCCGAGTCACTCGCAAACAGGGTTTCTCTGCGGGACCCAGGCATGCCTTTGCCCTCCACGCACTGAGATGGAGAACTCACCCTAATGTATCTAGTACCAGACTCCAACTCCTCTAATTTTCCAGGGCAGGTACCGCTCACTGCATCTCCACAAGAGTAGTAGTACCCACCTCCCCACCGTCCTGGGGTCGAGCCCCGAGCTTGTCGCTGTTCCAGCTGTCTGGGCCTCTTCACTGGAATTGGTCTGAGGGTCACCAGACTGCCAGGTAACATCCAGACAAGAGAACTTCCCCTTCTGACCCAGCAAGATCCAGTGAAAAATAATTCCTTGGCCTGAGTAGCCCTACACAGAACCTCCAGGTCCTAGACCTACTTACAGCTTATCTGCGGGAACTTAAGCGATGCCTAACGACCCCCGGATTTCTCTTTCTTTGCTTTGTGACTTTGGGAAATGAGGCTGGGGTGCTCTTAGCCTGTGTTCCATGGCACGAAAGCCCCGAGAAAACTGCGCTGACCCCCAGCACAGCGTCCACGACGGTCTCGAGACCGTCCTGGTGGAAGTGAGCATCTGGCCTGGTCCTCGGGGCTGCACCGCTCACGGCCCTGACTGCTGTAATCTCTTGGTGACTGGCCATGCTTTGCTTAATGCCGAAACTTCCCTGCTGTCTTCCAAGAGTCAGCAGCCGTCTGTCAGGCCGGTAACCGCGCACCGGTCCAGCCCAGTCCTCCAGAACCCAGCTGCGCGTGCCCAAGGCCTCCTGCCGGCTCCTGGGTCAGCTCAGGAGAGAGTTCCGGATTCCCACACAGGTGGCGGCCATGCCATCCTCGGAAGGAAGCAATCGACACGGTCGCCTTCTGCAGCCCGCAGGAACTGTGGGAAGCGCGCCTCACAGGTGGCGGAGGCAGGGCGAGAAATCCGCAGGAGGAGGTGGAAGGGCGGAGGGAAGAAGAGCGCGCCGCTGCCCCACGCTCCGGAGCGCCTCGTCCCAACGGCTGGACCAGGGCCGCGAAGGACCGGGGCGCGCGCGATGGGCTTCCCGAGAGCTCCGCCGCGCACCGCTCGCCAGGCCCGGGGCCGTG